CAGAACAGGACATGCTCTTTGGGAGGCACCATGTGGCTTAGTATTACAGCCCACCGCGTCTGTTGCCAGAATGCCGCAGAAGAGGAATGGTAGGAACACTGAGTTGTGACAGCCATGTGCTTTCGCGACCCGCCGCCCTATAGCGCTTTTCTCAGGCGACACAGTGCAATGTTTCAGTGAAGTGGGTTGCGATGCTTTTGGTTTGGTCGTTGGTGTGGCGTATCAATGCCAAGGGTGTGTGCGTGTGTGTGCGTGTCGGGGAAACGTTCTACCGCGCCGCATTGGCACTTCCGTGCAAGCGAGCCCTGAATGGTTGGGATTTCAACCAAGAGGCCATTAAGTTGAGGTCCTTGGCACTTCTAGCGAGTCTCGATGTAATGTTTCTCATGCTGTCTCCGCCGTGCACTGTATTTTCAGTAGTGCAAGCTTTGTGGAACGATAAGAAGCGTTCCCAGGAAGAGTTAGCGCGACGGTGGGCTGAGGCCTGTGGCTTCATTGACCACTCAATGAAAGCTTGCGTCGAACAGATGAGACGCGGGAGACTCTTTTGTTTCCAACACCCCATTGGATCTCGCGCGTGGAGCCTTCCAATGGTCGCCAATGTCAGAGAGCGAAATGGTATGTTCTGTGTAATCGAATGGCCTTTGGCCCATCCCCAGGCCTACTGGATGTTCGTTGGGATCTCTTGGGAAGCTTCTCGGGGGCCTCTGCGAGGCAGTTTCGATGCATCTTGGGGCTGCTTTCGGGCCCATTGGACTCTTTTGGGCCTCTTGGGGGCGTCTTGGGGCGTCCTGGGGGCTTCTTGGGGGCCTCTTGGGGCCTTTTTGTGGCCTCTTGGGGCTTCCGGGGGGCTTCTTGGGGGTTCGGGCCCCCCCGCGTGGAGCCCTCCTGGGGCCGTCTTGGGGCCTAGGCTGTCTTGGGCGCATCTTGGGCCGTCTTGGGGCCCTTGGGGGCTTCTTGGGAGCCTCTGGGGGCGGCCCTGGGGGCTTCTGGGCGCGTTGGGGGCTTCTTGGGGGTTTCTTGGGGGCGTCTTGGGGGCTCTTGAGGCAACCCCAGGGGCTTCTGGGACCGTCTTTCACGCCGTGAAGGCCTAACAGTCGCATGTGCATGGGAATGTTCTTGGGGGCCTATTGGGACTTCTTGGGATCCTCTTGAGCCGTTTGCGGTCGCCCTGGGCATCTTGGGCCGATCGTTCGGCGATTCGGGGCCTTCTTGGACCTTCTTGAGTGCCTCTCGGCGCCCTCTGGCCCATTTTGGGGCCCTCTGGGCTCCGGAAAAAATTCACGCGGGAAGCCGCGGGAAGCCCTTGGAGTGCGGCTTAGGGGATTAGGCAAAATACCTGAGGACGCGCCCACTATGTGCCCACGGCACAGTGGCGGACATTCGATCAGTGCATGTGCGGTTTAGTATCTCCTGTGCGTCGCAAGCCGATGCGCAAGCGCACTCGCCTCATGACAAATAGTCTGGAGGTCGTGCGCCAATTTCGCGGGCTTCTGTGCGACCGTAGCCACGAGCACCAAGTTGTCGAGGGGACGGAGGGCGGGGTGCGTTTGTCAACGCATGCCCAAATATATCCTCCGGGCATGCTTGCTCGCCTCGCTGCTGCCGCTGCAGAGCTCATGGGCCAGTGATTTGGCCAGCAGAAAAGGATGCCCTCCTCATCCTCATCATTCTCCTCATCCACCTCATCCTCGTCCTCTCCATCATCATCTACCTCATCCCTCTCATCGCCCTATCCTCCCTGACTGCTGCCAGCCTTGTCCTCATCCTTCTCATCGTGCGTCCACTGGGCGAGGGAGGGCGATTTATTGTTTTGATAACCTTCGGCCCATCCTGTCACTGCGGGGAAGTCGCCCTGGAGGCTCCTGGGTAGCACTCGCGATCTCGTGGGAATCCTATCAAGCGCCTCTCGGCGGAAATTGCGCAGCCTCCTGGAGCCTCTGCAGTCTTGAAGTCCTAGGGGGCCCATGGATCCAAGCGCAAGCCCTCTTTGGGAGTTTTCTAAGCCTCTGGGGGCCCTGGGTCGCCAATTGGCCCAATACGACATAATCACAAGCATCCTCAGCCTCGTGGAGCTGCGTTGACTGCCCCGGCGAATCAAGTGGCATCATAAAGGAGAGGAGGAGGAGGCAGAGGAGGAGGAGGGGCAGGGAAGGCGAGGAGGAGGAGGAGGAGGTTGAGGAGGAGGCGAGGGGAGAGGAGGGAAGGGACGAGGAGGCGAGGGAAAGAGAAGGAGAAGGGAGATGACGAGGAAATGGCGGGCGGAGACAGACAGGATGAATGGCCCTGAGGCCGCGTGACACGTGCTGCGTTCGCACGCGTCTGCTCCCCGCCCACTGCATGCCCATTTCGGCGCACCCCTCACACGGTTCGTGGCCACGTAGGGAGGCCCACCGAAAGCGTCAGTGCGGCTTCTTCTACAACCATGGGCTCAGGAGCCCTTCAGCGGCAACCCGTCCTGGGGACCAAAGAAACTTGAGAATCGCAAGTTAGGTATAGTTGGGCCATCCTGAAGACAATCCTTCGAGATCGGACTCAGCGCATTAAGAGGAGGGGGGAGAGGAGGAGGAGGAGGAGGAGGAGGAGGAGGAGGAGGAGGAGGAGGAGGAGGAGGATGGGGGTAGGAGGGGCGGGGGGAGAGGGTGGGCAAGGACAAATGAGGAATGATGCAAGCGCAACCAAAGCGCCTGGGCCCGGCAACTGCGATTTGAATGGCGCATGCCATGGGCGGAGCAGCCTGAAGCCATTTGCGGTTCAAGCCTGCGAGATTGTTGGTCGACTTCCTACAGAACATGTCAAGTTCGCCTCCTTCGCCAGGAGGCCTGAGCCTGCTGGACGAACCTACCTTGCACCTTGGTGAGCAGAGCGATGTCGCGGCACTTGCCGAGGTGGCGTCGGCCCCCTCCGACGTCGGCTCAGACTTGCCCCCTGACGCCGCCACAGACGACGACGACGCGGCAGGCGCTCCCGGACCCACCGACAACACAGTTAAACATTGTTGTTGCAAGAGGGGTTGCCTGGATAAGTTCACTTGCACATACATCGCTGAGCACAGGAGGGACTTGGCAGCGATGAATGATCGAGACCGTGCCAACTTGCTGTTCCTCCGGGTGCGCGACAACAGCAAATCCGACGAGCTGTCCTCGAGGAAAAGAATCTCATGGCACATCGACGGCCAGGAGGTGTGCAAGTCCATGTGGTGTCACATGAACTACATTGGCCGCTCCAAGGCCGACGAATACCGCACGCTGATCGATAACGGCCACACCCACATCCCTGAGGCGATGCCCAAACTTCCAGGCGTCCGCTCAGAGTGTCGGGCAAGCCAGGTGGCCATACATATTGTCATGTGCATATATACATACAGAGTGTGATGTATGTTGGTTGTTCCTCCAAGTGCGGGTTATGGTCTGATGTTGCCCCCTCCCCCTCGTTCGAAGCAGGGGTAGGTGCAGGTCTTGATGTGCCCTCATGTTAGGTGGACACGTGGATGTTGAAGTTGCACCATTCGTTGGGGGAGCCGCTGGCCACAGAGGGCGTCGCAGCAATGGGCGTCGACAACGCTCTGGATGGCCAGTCAGGGGAGGCCATATGCGTGGAAGTGGAGGCAAGCCACCCCCTGTGGGATATTGCAGTGGCGAACGGCTCCAAGCGCGCAGCGCCCCAGCGCTTCCTCAACCCAGGAACTGCTGAGAGCCTCTGGCAGCAATACCAGAACGAGGACCATCCAGCTGGCGGTGTGTCACGCAGCACTTTTTTGAAGCGCTACAGTAAGGCGTGGTCGAACGTTCTGAGCTTCCGCAACCGGGGGCAAGGGAAGGGGTGCAAGGAGTGCGCTCGCCTCGACCAGGAATGGCTGCAGGCGACGACCCAGGATGAGAAGAACGAGGTCGCAGCCCAGAAGACGAGCCACATCAAGGCGGTGCAGGCCGACCGCCTCGTAAATACAAGAGGGAACGCCATGGGCGAGCACGACGCCTTGCACCCATCAGGCGATGGGGCTGGGCAGGTCATCAAGCTGGCCATCGATGGCATGGACCAGGCGAAGTTCAAGTGCCCGCGAAATCTGGCGACGCCTCCTTCTCTTTGTCAGGGGAAACATCAGCGGGCAAATGCAAAAACAACACAGAGGGAGAGCGGGGGAGGGAGAGAGAGAGAGAGAGAGAGAGAGAGAGAGAGAGAGAGAGAGAGAGAGAGGCGGATGGAGGAAGAGAGAAAGAGAAGGAGATGGAGGGAGGGAGGGGAGGGAGGAGGAAGGGAGAGAGAGAGAGAGAGAGGGGATACGGAAGATGAGGAGGGGGAGGAGGAGGAAGATGAGGAGGAGGGGGGCGTGGAGGATTCGGGGGGAGGGGAAGGAGGAGGAGGGGGAGGAGGAAGAGGAGGAAGAGGAGGAGTAGGATGAGGAGGAGGAGGAGGGAGGATGAGGAGGAGGAGGAGTGGGGGGAGGAGGAGTGGGGGGAGGAGGGCCAGGGGAGGAGGAGGAGGGGCAGGAGGAGGGGGCCATGGGAGGAGGAGGCGCAGCAGCAGCAGCAGCAGCAGGAGGAGGAGCAGGAGCAGGAGGAGGAGCAGCAGGAGGAGCAGGAGGAGGGGGCCAGCAGGATGAGCAGGAGGGTCACAGGAGGAGATTTCAGTTGCCGCCCATGTCTGCTGCCAACTATCCTCGCTCATGTTCCTTCCTCCCCCTCCTCCTCTCCCCCCCTTCACCTCGTCTGCCTTGCCCTCCTCCTTCTCCTCCTCCTCCTCCTCCTCCTCGAGCCTCGTGTCTGAAGGTGTGTGTTGTTTTACGCGCCACCTCTGCCTCCGCATTCTCCTCCTCCTCCTCCTCCCCCTCCTTCTCCTCCTCCTCCTCCTCCTCCTCCTCCTCCTCTCCATGTCTATCTCTCCCTCTCTCTCTCCCTCTCTCTCTTCCACCTGCTCATCCTCTTCGCTGTCCTCCTCGTGTCCCTCATCTGCGCCCTGGTGTTTCCCCTCTATATGTCTCGTGCTCTCCCGACCGCCAGGCAAGCTCAGCGGAGTTCGAGCCCCTCCACCGACCAGTCTTGCACTTGACGGGCGTGATCGCGTGGGGCCACCTCGAGGCCTACTACATCACCCACGCTGACGCGCTCAAGGACGCGAACAACGAGGCGACATCGATCGCCAGGACCCTCGACTTGGTCAACTGCAAGTTGAGCAACGAGCAGGCAGCGATGCCCAGGTCCCTGATCGTGTCCGCCGACAACACCTGCCGGGAGGCCAAGAACTCAACGTTCTTGTCGACGCTGGCCTACATGCATGGGGCAGGCCGCTTCGACGCTGTGGAGTGCGAGTACATGAAGTCAGGTCACACCCACAACGAGCTCGACCAGCGCTTCTCGGCGATCGCGTCGATACTGTCCAACGCGCCGCACCTGGAGGACCCAGAGGAGCTCAAGGATTACATTCTCCAGAACTTGAAGCCAGCAGGCGGCAGGGAGCTACACGTGGAGGTGATGCCGTCAACATGCGACTTCGACAAGCTGCTCATGGATATGGACACACGCGTCAAGGGCCTCTCGGCGACGAAGAACGAGCCTGTCACAAACCACGCGTGGCGGGTTGTGGGCCGAGACCTCCTGTACAAGAGTGGCTTGACAGACGACGCCGTGGAATCCAAGCACGAGAAGTGGGAACACGAGCCGACGTCTTGCCGCGGTTCGATTCTCCTCTTGAAGGAATCTATGCACGATGCCCAGTTCAGCCAGGCGCCCCTGCTGCTGCTGCCTGAGAGCGCGGCCAACAAGATCGACCCGTCCAAGCTGCAGATCGCCCCAGCTCGTATCTTCAAGGATGAGCAGATCAAAGAGTTCCGCAAGACGGCCGATGCCATCGCCAAGCCCCCATGGAATCTCGTGAAGGGGCAGCAGTACCTCACCAAGCTGTGCGACGCGCAGGATCAAGGGTGGGGCGTGGAGCCAGAGCCGCTGCACTTCATCTTCGAGTACTCGATGCCAGACCTGAAGAACCCAGATACCAACGTGCCACCGCACATGAAGAATACCATCCAGGAGGGCGCGAAGGTGGCAGTGCCCCGCGAGGTGCGTGTGGGCCCGCTTACCGCAGCCGAGAGGGCTCGCAAGCTCCAGAAGGGCTGTATGAAGCGCCCTGCGGCGGCGCCCAAGCCCAAAGCTGCTCCCAAGAAGAAGGCCAAGGTCTTGACGAAGAAGCCCGCTGCGCAGAAGAAGCCAGCGGCCGCCGCCCCGATGGACGGCGAGGCCGACGAGCTCGGCGAGGAGGTGGAAGAGGAGGATCAGGAAGAGGAGCAGGAGGAGGAAGACGCCCTGGACGAGGGCTATGAGCCTGGTGCCGAGGCAGCGCCGCCAGCGGCAGAGGCTGAGGCGGCGGCGCCAGCGGCAGAGGCTGCGACGCCTGGTGCCCTGGAGGCGGCGCTGCCAGCAGCAGAGGCTGCGATGCTTTACAACTTGAGCCCATTACATCTTGAGCCCATCCATCCTTGAGCCATCGGGTCTTCCTCCAATTTCGTTTTCTCCTGCTCCTGCTCATGCTTGTTCCTTCCCCTTCCATCTCGCCGCTGCACTTTTCATCTACCTCCTCCCCCATCCCCCTCCAACCTCCCTCACGCGGGCTGGCCCCGCTGGCATCGTCTACGGCTGCTCGAAGTGCCGTTGGGCGAAGAGAGGCGCTCTAAGGGGGTGCTAAATCTGGCTACTCACTCTCCTTTCACTCCTCCTCCTCCTCCTCCCCCTTCCCCTCCCTCCCCCTTCTCCTTCTCCCCCATACTCCTCCTCCCCCTCAAGACAGGCGAGGAGGAGGCGGGGGAGGCGGGGGAGGGGGGCAGGGGGATGGGCGAGTAAGGCCCAGGGGGAGGAGAAGGATAAGGAGGAGGGTAGGTGGAGGCGGGCAGAAGGGGGAGAAGGATGAGGATGGGGGATGGGGGGAGGAGGGGGAGGGGGAGGGGCGTCTCCCCCCTGTCCACCAGGCTGCCTCGTGTGCCGCAAGTGGGCCGCCAACGGGCAGAAGGGCTACAAGATTAACCTGATCAACAATTACATCTACAGGGAGGTGGCGGCGTGAGGTGGTGGCCCCCAGGATGTGGCCCCCTGAGCACAGGGCCTGACATGTGGGAGGGATGAGAGGAAGGAGGAATGGCAGGGTTGGAAGGGGGAGGGAGCGGCAGGATGGGGGGGCAATCTAGACAGCGGCAGGACAACTGATAGAGCATTCTGTTCCGGGCACACTTTGAGGACACGCGCAAGGCGCGTCGTCCCCAGCTTGCTGGGGGCCACACCATAAATAGCAATGTCCCTGTGTGCAGTTTTGTGCCTCGCTCTAGGGCATGATCAACGATCGCAAGAGATTCTCAATGCTGCTATATGTCGATACCATCCATTATATCAGCACCCCGCAGTCGCGGATAAGAGTGATGGATTGGAGCAGTTTGGGCCATCTTGGGAGCCTCTTGAGGTGTTGTTTGGGGTCGCCAGCCTCCCCCCGATTTTCCCATGGATTGGGGCCGTCTTGGAGGCGTCTTGGGCCGTCTTGGGGGCCTCATTGAGCTGTCTTTGCGCCCTCCAGGGCCCCTCTTGGGCCCCTCTTAGGCTGTCTTAGAGCGATATTGGTGGCCTCTTGCACATTGCATTTACATTGTGTTTTTTGGGGTCGCCAGCCTCCCCCCTGGTTGTTTGCAACATAACCAGACTTCCCATTTGCGCCTTTTCGGCCTCTCGACTGCCCAAGACTGCCCAAGAGGCCCCCAAGATCGCCCCAAGATTGCCCAAGAGCCCCCCCAAACGGCCCAAGAAGCCTCCAAGACGCCCAAGATGGCCTCCAAGACGGCCCTGAAGTCCCAAGAAGGCCCCAAGACGACCCAGACAGGCCCCCAGGACAGCTTCTGACGGTTTCCGAAATGGCCAAAGAAGCCCCCAAGAGGCCCCCAAGAGGACTCCAAGAGGCTCCCAGGAAGCTTCCAGGGAGCCCCAAGAGTGCCCCAAGATGGCCTCTTGCACGTTGCATTTCCTTATGGTTTTTTGGGGTCGCCAGCCTCCCCACCCATTTTCCCATGGATTGGGGCCGTCTTGGAGGCGTCTTGGAGGCCTCTTGAAATGGCTTGGCGTTCTGCGGGGTGTTTTTTCGGGTCCTCTTGGGCCCCTCTCTGGGCCGTCGTGGAGCGATTTTGGTGGCCTCTTGCACGTTGCGTTTTTCCCTTGTGTTTTTTGGGGTCGCCAGCCCCCCCCCATTTTCCTATGGATTGGGGCAGTTTGGGAGGCGTCTTGGGCCGTCTTGGGGGCCTCTTGGCGCGTTTCAGGCTTGTCGTTATTGTGAGTGTGGGGCGATTTGGGCTCTTTGGGCTTTAGCGCTGTGTGCGTTTGGGGGCAAGGGGATGGGGTCGCACAGACCTTGGCGCTTTGGGGTCCAAGTCTTTATGTGCTTACGTAGTGGTGTTTGCCCCTCGAGCTTTTGAGCACCCTCCGCATATTGTACATTATTGCGTGATTCGGCTTCTCTGTGTTCGCCGCATGTCGTTGGCCCGTGAACATGGGGCCATTCATCACTTTCCAACTCAAGGGCCACTTATCACCATCAACGTAAAGGAGTTGCCTGCTGGGTTCCACAAGGACACTACGCTGATGTTGCAGATTCCGGTCAAAGTCCATGTGCGTTCGTTTGAAAGCATCACCGATGTTTGTGGCCAGCCCGCCGCCAAGAGGCAGAAGGTCCAGCCTAAGCCTGGGTCGCCTGAGTCGGGCGCAGCGTCTGCGTCAGCTCCGCACTCGCTGGAGACGCCGCTGCTGCCGACGCCGACCGATGGGCCAACGCAGGCAACTGCTGCCGTTCATCTTGGCCCCGCGCCCACCACGCCTGAGATCCTGATTGAGACCATGCCCCGCCCCCGTCACTGAGATCAAGGCCACCCAGGCCCGTGATTGATTGCGGCATGGATGCGTTGGATAGCAGATACATTGCGATAATGGAACCAGTGCATTTCCATATGGGTTATGGTCTGTGGTTGATCGTATCACTTCGGCGTGGGAGATGTTTCCATGGTATGTGATTGATCTTGTCTCTTTTCACTTCGACGTGCGAGATGCTTCAAATATCTTGGTCGTGGAATGCGGTTGTGCACATCCTTTAGGAACTTCTCAGTGTCTGCTCCTGCTCTGTGTCGGCGAGTTGTTACACTCGCGACGTGCGAACGCCTGTCGCCGCAGACTGGCTCTGGTAAAAAGGAAACACCACCGCAAAGGGCCTTGCATCCCTGCACCCTTGAGCAATTGCAGCTGTGCACCTTGCCCTGCCGCTGTAGTAGCCGCTAGAGTCCCCGGTCCCATCTAAAATAGGTGAAATTATTGACGCTTCGCGTTGTCCCCGCCAGCCCCAGCAGCGATGCCCAGGCGAGTTGAGGTGTTGCCGTGGGAGGTTCTCGGGGGTCTCTTGGGGCCATCTTGGGGCTCTCTGGGGGTCCTCTTGGGGTCCTCTTGGGGCTCTTTTGGGGCCATCTTGGGGCCCTCTTGGCATGGGGGGTCTCTTGGGGCCGTATTGGGCCGATGGTTCAACAGAGGGGGGTACTTTTCCCTCCCCCCCCCCAACCCCGTATGCTCAAGAAGGCCCTCTTGGGGCCCTCTTGGGGCGCTCTTGGGGCGCTCTTGGGCACTCTTGGGGCACTCTTAGGGCCCTCTTGGGCTCCTCTTGGGGCTCTCTTGGGCCATCTTGGGGCCATATTGAGGCCTCCTCCTCCTGACCGCCCAAGACCCAGCCCGCTACCGCCAAGGATCCAGCACATCGGCCGCCTGGGATCCAGCGCAGCACATTGACCGCCCAGGATCCAGCACATCGACCGCCCATGACCCAGCGCATCACCCAGCGCATCGATCTACCAGGTTTCAGCGCCTCGATTTTTTCTTGTCAAGCCGGTCGGGCCATGTCCGTTGTGCTGGAAACAGTTTTTTCCAGGAGATCTCCCCCGGCGCAAAGCCTTGACAGAAAAAAAACATTGACCTCGGAAGGCGAGCGCCCATCCAGCGCAACACGCGTTTAAGATGAGAGACCCCCGCACCCGCAGGAACAAAATGATTCCAGGAGGTGTCTCAGGCATTTGCAATGATCCAGCGCGTTGGCCGCCCTGCTGGGCCATCGTGGGATCCGCTGGATCACTGCAACGCCAGGGGCACCTCCTGGAAAAATCTTTTTCCAGGAGGTCGCGGCATCTCGTGGCGGAGGGGGTCGTTGTGCAGGACCCCCTCGTCTTAGCCTCCCTGCATCATTGCCCTCTTCGTTTGCCCCCCCCTGCTCCCCCAGCTATCCCTCCTTCCCCTGCCCCCCCCCTGCCCCCCTGCCCCCCTGCTCCATCCTCCGGAGAATCAGAAGTTGTGGCTCATAGCACGTCTGTGCTGTACGTGCCTCTTTAAACCCTGCGCAAAAACTACTGCGAGTTCGAGAAGTTAGGATGGCTGAACTTGTGATGAATGCGCATGGCTTCCACGTGATCAGTGGGCCTGAGGGCGGTCAGCAGGACGCTCAGCAGGCTGATCATGATCTTCACGGCGGAGAACGCGACCAAGGCCATCAATATCAGATGGATGCGGAGAGCGATGCGACGCCCCTACAGCAGTTCAACGAGGCGATCCAAGACGCCTTCAGTAAAATTTTCTCCGATGTGGGCGGCCCCCGCCAGTTCCTGCTGAAGGAGCTCGACACTTGCGAGAAGAAAGACGAGTTCAACATGTGGTTGTGGTCCACCTTCGTCGAGAAGGACGACATCTTCTACCAGCACGCGACCAACATGGAGCTCGCGGAGACAGAGCACGATGTGAACCCAAGCTGCTTCATGTCTGCGCATGTTTGCGCACTGGGGTACGAGGAAAGCTCTTCTCTGAAACCCCCGCCCGGGAAGGCCAAGAGCATGCAGCTCCTGGAGCAGTTCCTGCTCGACGGCTTCATTACGACGACAGAGCCGCTGACCATCAACCTGCCCGACGGCCTGAAGAACATGTGCCCGCCGCCATGGGGGGTGTTGGGAGGCAGCGCGCTCTCGCCGCGTAGCCTCGGGCACGTCAAGGGGCACGCCCGGGCCACGACGCTGCTGGCGTTGCTCCTGTTCATCAAGAAGGAAGGCATGGACCTTTACGCGAACAACCCAGTCCTGTTCCAGAGTGTGTGCGACATCAAAGTAATCCGCCTCCGGGGCAAGGGCATGCTCGAAGACGCGCTCATGAACATGAAGATGTCAGTTCGAGGCAGCATCAGGACCGCGAACAACGCGCTGCAGGTAGCGGTGATCGTCGCCAACTTGCAGAAGGCAGGGGCGTGCAGTATCTCTACCTTCGTGAGCAAACATAACGCCCGGAGCGGGCAGAGCAGCAAGATCGCAGGTAAGAGGGCGGCGTCTCTACGCTTGCTGTTCGAGTCTCTCCCGAGGGCGTCCTTGGAGAGCATCCTCGCCCACGCTGAGGATCGGGGCCAACCCGGGGCGGAGGATTTTTCTAGGATCTTCGAGGCCCTAGGGGAACTCCACTTGGACCACCGTCTCCTCCATTATCTCCTTTCCTATTTCTCCTCCTCCTCCCCCTCCTCCTCCCCCCCCCCCCACCCCACCCCCCCCCCCCACCCCCCCCCCCCCCCCCCCCCCCCCCCCCCCTCCCCCCCCCCCCCCCCCCCCCCCCCCCCTCCCCCCCCCCCTCCCCCCTATCTGTTTCTTACATGCCCCCTCCTCCTCCTCCCTCCCCCCCCCCTCCCCTTCTCCTCCTCCTCCTCCTCCTTCCACTTCTTCTCCTCCTCCTCCTCCTCCCCCTCCTCCTCCTTCCCCCCCTCATTTAGGAAACGGTTTCCAATGGGTTTCTGTTTTTTGAGGGCTCACGCTGAGTGCGATCACCCCATAATTGTTGCCGCGAGGAGCTCACGTGGGAGGGCTGCATGTGGTCGGACGACAACCTCGCCAATCGTAAACTGTACCCAAGGTTTGCGTTCCCCGCCAAGAACAAGACCTGGGCCCCGATGCTCCGCACCACCGATGCCAGCACGCAGTTATGCATTGAGAGGCTGCAAGGCGCGCACACCCGGAGCCCGAAACACTTGCG